CGCCATAAACCAATGCCTAGAATCATTCCACTCACAAGAAATCCACTAACGCACACCTAGCCAGGATTCTAATAATATCTTAGTAACAGATATATGCAAACACTATATACATGGTGACCATAGTATGGTTAGAGAATTCTTCTATAATCAATTGGTCTCCTAAAACCACTGTCATACCTAGAGCAGTGACATATAGCTAGTGGAATGTTACATAGTTGTAGAACAGCGAGTGGTTAATGAAGCAGTGAGGTAAAACTCATTCAACAACTGAAAACTGCTCCTCTGTCAGATACAGACTAGAAATGGAACGATGCAATGAACGACTATCTTCAAAAATATTTCCTGCAAGTCAAAGTTAAACAAATAGGAAGAAAAGATGCTAGCTGAATAAAATAATAAAACACTGATCAAGAACAAGAAAGAGTGAGTGCCCAATGCCCTGAGTGATCAGTATAATTAAAGCGCCCTCTGTGTTATAATAGCCAATTAAATGCAGGAGCGCCCTCTGTGTTATAATAGCCAATTAAATGCAGGAGCGCCATCAGTGTTAGAAACACTGATCATGATACTTAAAGCTCCCCAGTGTTAGAATAGCTAATAGAAGGTGGGAGCGCCCTCACAACGCAGAATAAGAGAAAAAAGAATGAAAGGAAGGAAGATAACAAAAGAGTGAAGACTTACTTGAGTTTTTTTTCTTGTTCCAACTTTTATGAGGTGGAGATGGTGATAAGAATGTTAGTGGTAAGAAAATAAAAATAAAAATGCAAGCTTGAGTTATGGCAGAGAGAAATGAAGTTAGGATGTATAAAATTTTATAAATTACAATGAACAATTTTTTTTAAGCATTAGCACTATTTTCTATCAAGTTGGATCAATTTGATTTTCATTTTTTTTTGTTTACACACAATCTATTGAATTGGTTCACAATGAGATAAAGCCATGGGATGATCTAGTATGATAATGATAATGATGTCATACAGCCATGTTTATCTGCAGTGTATGAGTACAAGATCCACTCAGTTAATTTTTTGAATGTTGAAAGTCAACTTTTTTCGCCTTCCAGACTATAAATCTGATTAATTTTTTTCAAAATCTCTCAAAAATTGTCATAAGAACCTACAGCCTATGGAAAATTATGTCCATTACAGAATTCAAAATTACTGTAGTAGTTGTCCTTGGAAACACGTTTTGCCATATGACAAACACACCTTTAGGATAATAATTTTTTTTTTTTTTTTTTTTAGAAATCACAATGGAGGTTTTTAGAAAAGCACAGAAAGTATAACATAAGGCAAACCAGAATCGCAAGTCTGCTTACCATAGTGATAATACTGTTTTTCTCATTCATCTCTGATTTATGAGTCAGTCTCATCTGCTCCATTTCCATTTCTAACATCGTCTTTTCTTTCTCCAGATCATCATACTGTCCTTGAGCAATGGCTCTCGCGAGTTGCTCTGAATCAGCTTTGGTTAGAGTCAGTTCCAGTTGCGCCATCAGAGAATCCCTGTAAACAGATGAAAAACAACACAATTTTAAGTGAAAATGTCATCAATATCTTGAAAAAATATGCTTACAACAAAACATCAAAAACGAACTTGGCTGATATATCAATATTGCCAATTTTATAAGAAAGTTTGAAAAATAAAAACTGTTAATTGTAATTATAAAGACAATAGTGACTATGAGGACAGCATTTTCCCCCTCATCTATGATATTGGCAAGGTAACAAAAGCAAGTGACTGAAATTGAATTACTCAAAATAAATCAAAGAAGTTATAGAGCAAAATCATTAGCTGGCTTTGTCTTTATGTTAAATTTTAATTTCAACAACAGAATTTAATGTTTTCTTCACAAACCAGTGAATTTAAAACATAGTGAATATCACTGCAATACCAATCCTAGAACAAACCCTATGACTATTTCTTGTACAGTATTGAATATTGAGTGATTTAAATACTGCCGATACCAACGGGTGTCCTGCCACGAATGAAACCAACAACAGTTCATATTTCGTGTCACAACCACGTTTCATGCACAGCAACAAAATACTTTTGGACATGGTTTTATAGCCATCAGGAAGAGCAAGCTTAATATTCAGAACAGATTAATATTCACACATGAAATGAAGCTGTACTGGAGAAAACAAAACACAAACCTTGCATTTTGAAGCTTGTTCACAGTATCTTGTACATCTTGCATCTGATTCGCTCTTTCATCGACTTCCTCTTTGAGTTCGCGAACTTGTTTTTTATATAATGTCTTTAGAGGTGAGAAAACAACATGAACGAACTACACTTTTTGTGTTTTTGTAAAATCATTGAAATGTTGGATAAACTTCTGAATTGCAAAAAACATTATCCAACCCATAATGCACTGCAGTCAGTAAGTGTAATTCTTTCATAGATTATGTTCGAAATGTGAAACTAGACCATTTTACGTTCACTGTGAGATCCCACATTATGCATGAAATCAAACATAAAAATCAAACAAAGGTCATAGTGATGTCAAAGCATCTTGTGGAGGGTAGTCAAACGGCAAAATATTTATGGGTATTTCCACGCTTAATAATGTGTTATTACATTTGATGAGGGTCAATTTCAAATTCAAGTAATAGAATCTCAAAACAATACTGTGAAGTACTTTATTTTAGCTAGAATTAAATATGAAATATAGGAAAAAAAGTATATTCGCTGGATTTTATTTTCACGGAATCAACCCTTCAGCGAAAATAGCGATAAAATATAGTATTCTTTTCAAAATTCATTTTCAAAATTAAATTGTCTTTCTGAACGTGCCAAGCTTGACTGAAGTTGGGCCACCAAAATACATTTTTAAACGCATGAAATTAGAAGCACATATTGTGACTAATAAAATAAAGAGTCTAATAAACATATCTTTAATACATCTGTCATTATAAAACCTTCTACAGCAATGCAAAGCCATACATTCAACCAATCACTGGTAAAAAATACTCACTGAGAAATACTGCTCAGCCTCAAACTGATCCTGTAACTCCTTCATCTGAAGTTCATTCAAAGCCAAATTACTGAAAAAAAGGAAAGAATTAATAAACTTACATCATAATGGTGATGGAGTCCTTTCCAAGATTTGTTTTAATACATAAAGCGACAATAGCTGTAACTATCGATTTATTTTTTATTTTTAATAAAAAGTGTTATTAGCGCAGGCATCACCAAAATGTGAATACTGAAAGCATATACGCTATATCCTGATGTTGTACAATAAATCAGAACTGCCATGTGACAACATCAAAACTGTGGTGTCGCTGGGTAGTTTTTACAGCCCGTGCTCACAGTTTAAGAGAAAGATAGCTATATATAATAAAACAAGTCATTGTCAATGACACGTCCCCGTTCCGTTCATATTTGAGTGACATATACATTCAAAGCAGATCATGACCGAAATGCACCTGCATATGTACAACATATTGTGCTAAATCTGAACAAAATCCATCCATGCATGACTGAGATCCGGTTCTGGAATTGTGAAAATATGTGATTTTGATGCATTTTCAGCCTTAAAATGACCATCATTCCGCTATTGTTAAGCAGATCATGAAACAAATGCACATATCTATTTGTGACATGATGTACCATGTGTGTGTGAAGTTTGAACTTGATCAATCCAGACATGTCTTGGATACGGATCCAGAACTGAATTCTTTAACAAAATGGCCGCCAGTCGGCCATTTCGAATTTGATCCGAAAAAAAAAAAAGACGTGCATCAAGGTCCTATTATGTTTAATGTATGTACCAAATTTGAACAAAATCCATCCATGCATAACTGAGATACGGGTCCGGAATGGTGAAAATGTGCGATTTCAATGCATTTTCGGCCTTAAAGCGGCCCCCATTTGGCTATCGTTAATGAGATCATGAAACAAATGCACATACATATTTGTGACATGATGTACCTTGTGTGTGTGAAGTTTGAACTTGATCA